TTATCATTATTACTACATCTGCCTTAAAATTTATCTTTGTAGAAGCATTTTGAATGTAAAGATTTGTATATATAAACACAGCTACTGTAGTAGGTTATCTTTTTGTCTTGCTATTCTTCCTTCTCAAGAAGAGGCAGAAGATAATGACTTGGGAAGCACCTTGTACCTTATAGTTAAAGTTGTGTAGTTTTGAGTTTTATAACTAAGTTACCTTGGCCTTTGTATATAACCGATAAACTTTTTATTATCCTGTCAAGCTTTCTAATGCTTCTGGGTCATCTGAACAGCTTATACTAGTCCTAGCTTACCTCGTTATGAGAATATAGACAAGAAACGAAGCAGAAACTGAAAGGTTGAATTATCCCAGGGCTGTTTCCTTGCCTTAGGAAATCTTTTTTTGAGATTTTAAAAATCCCATCCACATTTGAAGATATTTTACTCTCTTTCATCTTTCTACAGGTGAATTGGTTTCTTATTATTACAATGTGACCTCTGCACAGATAGATGCACACTATTTATAAAGGAGCAGGTTTGGAACTTTAAACAATTACAGTATTTTCTACATAATTATAGTAATAATGATAATCATTATTATTTTTAGCATTACATTACCTAAATGGGCAAGTACACTTCTGAGAGATAAAGTGAAATGATGTTATATAGTAATTAGGTAAGTCATTTGTTGGGGGGAAGGATGCATAAAGTTTTCTCATAGGTGATGGTTTCTAAGATAAGATTTGAAAGATTAGTTAGCCAGGTGAAGAAGAGGTAGAATGCCCTAGGGAGAGAAAAACTGCATATGCAAGAAGTTGGGAGCAAGTGAGAACATATAATTATAAAAGAAATTGAGTAGAAGCATAACTGAGTATGACTATGAGGTGGAGCATAGACTTTTTAAGCCTGGCTGTGGGGTCTGCACTATGCCTTGAGAACAACTGAGAACTTGTAAAAGGTTTTAAGAAAGATTTTAGAATTTCTCTTATATACTGTTCAGCTCTCAAATTGGCCAAGTCCACATAAACATCAAGTAGTCTATGGCTTTACTTTTGTAAACTAGAAAGTATTGATAAGAAGAAGCAGAACGATGAACTCTTTTCTCTCTCATGCTATAAAGAGGGCATCTACTTATTTACATACTTCCAAGTTAACATTGGAAAGTGGAAACATAATCTAATAGCATAACATGAGTTTCTCTTGGAGTTGTACTAGGATTTTTGTTATTCAATATCTGGAGTATCATTGGAGAATAAAGCAGTTGCTGGATGTCTTAACTTGGTCTGCTAACCCTCTTAGATCAGGTCTTTATTTCTGTAACCCGATCATGGCAATAACCTCCCAGCATCTCCCTCTCTGCCCATGCCTCCTAAGCATGCTGTGTTTAGGAGCTGGGGCTCCAGACTGATTTATTTGCCTATATGCTAGTCTTCCTCATTACCCTGTGGACAATAGGAAGCCAATTAAAGTTCCTTTCTCAATTTTATTTTTCATTACATGAGAGGCTCATATATTTACTATTTAATATGAATGATTTTCAGACTCAAGAACAGCTAACATGGAGCCTCCAGAGTTAATTAAATCCCAGGAATTATCAAGGAAGATGACCCAATTGTCAGTCTGTACTTCAAGTCCCAGTTCTGAGAGCTGGAGTTCACCTTGCCCAAGAACAGTCTTTAATGCTTGAAGGGATTTCCCTCCCACTTCTGTCTTCTCTGCTTCTCATGTACAAAAGATCCAGGAGGGAAACATCCAAAATGAGATTCGTTAGGACTAAAGGTGTTGTCAGATAAAAAAACACCCTCCTGGGCAGGGGAGACCAAAACATCTGAATGGGACTCAAAATCTGACCTTGTGCTTTGTTCCCATGGCCTGTCGAATGAGACTCTGGTTATATTTCTTTCTGAACCCTAAGAAAGTCTCTGATTCATCATTGCCCCTGACTCTCAAATCGAGAGTTTTTCACAGTGCTGTTCGATTCTGTGGTCGCTGCCCAACTTTTCAACTTTTCACTTTTATAAATGATATAGAATGATCAGAAATTTTAAAAGTTCACTTTTATAGTTAGAAAATAGAAGCTATATAGCCCTTGTTTCTTTTTAACTTGGCTAGCAGAAAGTTTGAAACCACATTTTGATGCTCAATTGCAGTTTTACATTTTTTAAATGAAAGTTGTACCTGATTAAATGCAAGCTGGGGAGACATAAAAAGTTAAGAGAATTAGGGATTATATGCCCACTCTCCAGAGGTAGTGAAAACTAAGGAATTATTGAATCAATACTCATATTGAAGATAGATAACTTCTGGTTCCTTCTCCTTCTAAATGTGGTGGGTTATTTCCATTAATTTTGATCCTTTCATGTGCTGAGAATAGTAGTCCCTTGATCTATAAGGTTCTAGTGTTTCTAACTTCTCACTTGTCAACCTGGTCATTTAATAATTTAATACATTGAAAAATCGGAGGTTTGGCAAAGTCAATGTATCTTGCCCTGTTTCATTTATCTATCTTACGTCCATAGTTGTGGCCTATGAATGAGTTTCTGTGTGATATAAATAGCAATTTTGTTATTTTGTTTTTCTTTTCTTAAGAGGAATCATTGACATTGTATGCTGCTCAAGATAGCACATCCAAAGATAGCAAAAGGATCCTTGGGACCTTCTGAGAGAGAAGAAACTAAAATCTCAATACCTTCTCATTTGGGGGTCAAGTTTATCGAAACTTCTTAGAGTTTCTGCTGGCAATGGACAAAAATCAGACACCCCCAAAATGAAATCTTAGTTGGGGTAGAGAAAGATGGGACTATCCGACTAGGGCAGAAGAATCACTGCCAGCTGTATCACTTTTGTCACAGTTGGCACTGATAATACTCTTCAGCAGCCATCCTAGTGTTAAGCAGATAATCTATTAATCAGGTGTCAGTAATAACCACTATGACAACATATTTCTGGCTCCACAGCAAGGTGATGAATTTCTTAAATGATGGCTTTTTTCAGCCTCCTGGTAATGTGCCTGGGTTCTGACTTCAGAGGAGGAATAGAGCTAGCTTGTCTGACTGGTCCAACAAGACTGACAATGTTGATGAGCTTTAGTGGCTATGACTTGTTTTATAATGCAGATTAGGCAAGCTACTTTTTTTTTTTTCTTACTCTCTTGTTCCCAGCAACTGTGGTATTAAGAGGTATTGAGCTTACGGACATTTAAAAAAACAAAACAAAAAAAACAAAACAAAAAAAAAACAATCTATGACGATGGTACCCAATTTGTTTGCTTAGGATGTAGTAGGAAGCTAATTGGAAATGGTCAGTGAGTGCAAATGCACAAAAACATAGTCTATAGATTAAATAAATAACAAATCCAATACATATGTCACTCTACCTTCATAAATACATTACTGTCTATATGCATACACATATGTATGAGTGTGTGTGTGTGCATGTGTAGATCACTTTCTGGCCATACTATAGTTCCCTAAACTCTTTAGATCTTATAATTGCAATTACTTTTCTGTGAAAGAACTATAAAATTTTGTGTAAAAAAAATGATCTTTATTCATGAAAGTTTTGGGAGTTAATACTCTGCTACAGGAGAGTGAGTTTTTCCTTCTATAGATTATAAACTCAATCAAAGAAAAAATTGGTTCAAAAACTAATTATACAAGCTTGAGGAGTTATGCCTTTTCTATCTCCTTATAAAATTCTCAGTTGCTAGAATTAATCTGGAAAGTTTTGTGCAAGAAAAGATAAGAAAAGAGAAAAGAAATGAAAGATTTAAGCATTTATTACTTGATTGCCAAATCAATCTAATTAAAAGTTTGTCTCATAGGCTTATTAACCTGTGCTAATTGTCAAATGAGGACAAATAGGCAATGGAATTTCCCTGGTTGCCTATTTTCATTGTCTTATGCCTCCTTTTTAGTTTCAGATATGGCTTCTTTTTTTCAACTTGGTATTTACCATGCCTTCCTGCTCCAGCTCCCTGTAATGATTTCAAAGCAAAGAAGTGCTCACACTTGTTGGTTGTATTCAGCATAGACAGAGCTCAATTTGTATTTCTGTATAACTTATTCATTAGCTATATGACCTCATAAACTCTCTAAATATTATTTGACAAATCAAGTTAATTTAATACATATTTCTACAGTGTTTGCTCTGCAAAACTAAAGCTCTGTAAATTTGGTTCTAGGGTCTGTGCCCCAAAATATGTGCCTTTGCTTAGTTACCATATACATTTCATGGACATTGTCTTACCTTATAGAAATTTTGGGAGAATTGAAGACGTTTCTATATCTCAAAGTGTTTCAAAACCCATACAATGGTTTATACCAAGAATGCAATATGACTATTAATAAATTACCTAATGATTTTAGTGATTCAATGATTTTTGTATTGATCACACTGAATTCTATGTGTTCTGTTCTCTAGATATTAGCTATGGGACCCCTCCATTTTTCATCAGACACCTTGAGTTTGTTTCCTGTTTCAGTTGTCATACACCTATGCCTTATTTTCAGATATGGTATTTAAAATTTTCTGTTCAAGAGAACAAATATAAAAAACTGAAGGGTTAAACTGAGGCTACAGCTTTCTGCTTGCAGTGAATAAGGTCTCCTGATCCATGACCTGATGAAAATCATATTTATCCCTCTTCTTTGGTCTCTCTCAACTCCTCCTTCATTTGGAGATATGTTGTTATTAGTTTGGATATCCTTGAATTGAAGATTCCTGGCAATAATAAATTCTCTGTGTCATTTAGCTTTCTTCTGCCAATGGGTAAATAATTGATATGCAAAATGATGAAATGTTTTTTACAGAACCATGCTATATGCTGGATGCCTCCCACTGTTGTCAGATCCTTAGGAGAGAATCTGGTTCATCAAATGATGCCATGTAACCAAGAGAACAACACAGGTTGCACATGAGTGATTGGTAATTCAGTTTCATTTATTACTAATACTTATATTCATTGTGCTTCATTTTTCAGGGATGGTGATTTTTATTTTGAACTTCTACATACAACAGTCAGCATTCAGGTTTGTGCAGAAACCAACTGGCTTTTCAAAATCACGGCACTCTCGTCTACATTTGCCTTTCCTGAGAAAGCAATTATAGGTGTCTTTCATGGCACATTTCACTGTTAAAAGGAAAAAGAAAAACACATAAACCATTGAGTCTATATATACTCAAAAAGTACCAACTTGGAATAAATAAATTATTGATGTGAAAATAAATATATCATCTGCATACTAGGGTAGGGATTTGGGAAGACATTTGTTTTGCTATTTTTCTGGTGATGATAGTTTTGTGACATTTTGGTTTCATTGTCAGATTTCTCCCCAACCTATGGCCAGGTCCACTAGTTGTTAAACTTAGTTTTCCTTGTAATTTCTAAATAGAAATTATTAGGTCCAGAGTGTCTTTGGAATGGACACCATATATGTCTATAGCTACTTACCTACCTAACTTGCTTTTTGAAAATAACTTTATTCAGGTATGATTGATATACAAAGAACTTCACATATTCAACGTGTATTATTTGGTGAGTTTAGGCATATGCAAACATCCATAATTCCATCATTATACTCAAGATAATAGACATATCCAAAACCTCCCAAAGGCTTTTTTTTCCTAATTTCAAAAGAAGTTAAAAATATAAACAGTTTTGTTTTTAGGATCCAAAATAGGAAAATCAATGAATGTGGCTTAAATTTCTATCTTGCTTGCATGTTTTTTATGAGAAGAATTAAGAGAACCCTAACAAACACTACCATAAAAAGTGTTCTTTGAATGTGGGCAAAGATTTGAGCCTGGGCAGAGGAGACCACATTGGTAGGAATACTAGTGTTGTCAAGTATGACCAGCCTTAGCCACACAGAGAAGAAGGGGGTGAAATTGGTCAGCATCTACCCATGTTTTCCTCTTTCAGAGTCTTCTCCATTGTAATGTATTCAAGCCTGCATTTTAATATATACCAACTGAGGAACTCATTCACATCATGGGTGTAAGATTTAATGTTTCATCCTCTCAAGAAATGTTTGCATTTTTAAAAAGATCACTTAGGGAGGGAGACTCCCAAAATAAAAGCATCAAACATAATTATGAATTATCAAACATCAGCAGAGAAGGTATGTGAACAATGTTCTATTCTTTTTCCTTAGGGTATCAACATACAGGATCCCAAGATATAGACTCCAATGGAGATGAAGTTGATGGTATTGAAAATGCAATTGTTCATGCCCTCTGCTTTCAGTGAGCTTATGTTAGCATGGAATTGCTCTGTTATTTTTGGCAACTGGGCATTTCAGGAAGACAATTAAACCCGTATTATATTGAAATTTTTGCCATATATTGTAGACCAAGTGATACTCCTTTTTCACTGTACAAATTAATGATGTCTCTTTATTTGTATTATCTGGAGAGATGTTATTTATTGCCTTTGATGCCAGAGGGAAAAGACATTATCTCACCAGCTTAAAAATGCATCCCCAAATTACACTGTCTTACATGAGGGGTGTGAAGCATGTATTTTGACTTAATTGGAATTTACAAATAACAGAAGATGACAGCTGTCAAGCACCAGCATGAGAAGAAGAATAGCATTATTTAAGTGGGAATTGTAAATTAGCATTTTTTCACTAGTAACAGAAACAACAAATAGCTTCTCTCTAGATAACAGCTATTGTATCATATAAAAATTCATATTTATTCACAAGAAGGAATTGAAAATTCTTCAACTTTTAGTTGAAACCATGCACATACATTCACAATGTCTCTTGGGTTTCTGAAAATACTGAAAATGTTATGAAGGTTGTTACTTTTTTTTATTGAAAGCAAGTGATATGAAGGACACATGTAAATCATGACAACATAATTGGAGCTAATATTTTATTATCCAAATGGGGCTGTGCTTAATACTAGTTTTCTCTATTTTAAGATCACCATTGTTTTGTTTTAGTAAAAACATGCCCTGATTTTAACTGAATTTGTCCTGAGTTTAGAAAGATGTAATATAATAATAACCCTTATAATTATTATGAAGATTGTCATTGATTAATTGATTAATGATCCTGCAGAGAGTAAAATACTCAAATTTTAGAATGCTCCCAAATCAGAAATCCCAGAATTGCCATTTTTTTTTTGTTGTTTTATTTTTTTAAGGTGAGTAGAATTTTTTTCTTGAGTGTGTGTGAAGTGATTGTTTGTATTGTCCTGGCTTACACACAAAGAAATACTTTTCCTATCTCAAGTAGCCTGAAATATGTCAAAACAGCTCTTTGCATAATCTCGATCAAGATACTTACCTTTGGCATTGATCTAACTTTAGAGTAATGAGTACAGTGAAAGTTTACAAAGGCTGGTATGCTGTCTAAGTACGTGAAGTACAACAAGGTAAATATTTTCTCCATTATTTACCAACAAGGTAAATATTTTCTCTCTCTTTCTTTCTCTATGAGGTGTCTAGAGGTCACTTGCTTTCTAAGATGTTTTGATACAATGTAAAAGTAATCATAATACTATTTAAGAAGAACCTAGTATGTGTTATCTTTTATCTTAGGGACTTTCCATATTTATATATCATTAATCCTCATAACACTATGAGGTAGACTTAATTACTATATTTAATTCACAAATGAGGAAATTGATGCTGAAGGAGTTTAAATAAGATGATTGATTTATATAGTCAAGAACCCAGGTATCAGTAACTCAGAAGGTCATACTCATTTCATTATCTGATGAATATTAATCGCTATGTTGTTGAAGCTGAGGTATAGAGCCATTAAAATGCTTTCAATCATAAATCAGTTGAAATCATTTTAGGATAAGTATTCTCAAAGTAAACCATGCAGCATGATGAGTGAAAAACCCATTGTTATTTTATTATTAATACACAGTCCCCAACATTTCTCAAGGATCTAGAAGATAATACCTTAATATATTTTCTAATATGTTGATCTGGACAACCAGCCCATAATCATTTCAACAAGTACTTAAATTGTATCCCACAGTATTATAACTCACTAGGAGCCTTATTTTTTAGTAAAATCACAAATTCTTTATGTGTGATTTATTCTTGGGACCATAACAAACCAACAGACCACTCTCTTGGCAATTCAGTCATTCTTTTATCTCCAGTTGACATCAATCAAGATTTAACTCTCCAGAAATATATTTCAACCTCTCAATTAACATTTACATTTTACCTGGTGACAATGGGGCCAGAAAGAAAAATAAAACAAGGAGAAAAACAGGAATCTTCATGATTGAAGAGATTCAGCCAAATCAGCAGCTCTGGAATCTTTGAATAAGAGAATGGTAGAGAGCATATCTTTTTATATTTCTCTCCCTGCAGTGATATGAATTGAGTCATGTTTATCAAAAGTTAACACTCCTGTTTAGCAGTGCCTGGGGCAGAAGTGCTGGCCATTCTTTTTTTTTTTTTTTTCTTTTTTTTCTTTTGGGAATATAAAAGGATTACGCTATCCCCTAGCAACCTTGAAACATTATAAATTATTCAGTGACAGTTATGTAGGAAACTTGAATTTCTAGGACCAGTCTCTGGAACAGATTTGCAAAAGTGGAATTCTTCTGACCAATCCTTACACTGTAATATACTTCAGAGTAGGTTCAAACTCTTGGTAATTATTTAAAGTGAAGGTGGATAGTCTCAGATTAGATTCAGTCCAAAGAGTATTATTAAAGCTTTGGTGCCCGCCCCAAGCCTAGTGTTTTCAGGATGTATTTATAATTCTTAGCATACTAGTTATTGCAAAGGCTGCCTATGCTGCTTGAGGGATTATAGAAACAAATGCAAAACAACGTTAACATGGAAACAATAAAAACCCTGTCCATTTTGACATGTTCTTCTACTGTAGACTTCTTTCATGGACCATAGCTTCTTAGATATTTGGGAAAAGTGATTGTACAAGAATCACGGTGTTTGAGTCCCTTTCCATCTGCTACTCACTTGCTAAGAAACATTTTGGTGAATTCATCTATATAGGATTCACATTCCTTATCATTCAATGGCAAGAGCTAACACTTGTTGACAATTTACTATGTATTAGGTGTAGTTCTGAACATTTATGTGCACTAACTCATTTACTCCTCACAACATTCTTTGAGGTAGATGCTATTGTTACTTTCTACTTATAGAGGTGAAAATTGAGACATAAAGATATTATTTGCTGAATCTGATACAGCTAATAAGTGGTAGTGAGGGGAACTGAACCCAGGCTGTCTGATACCAGTGTCCCATCTCTTAACCATCTTCTCTACTATAGAATGAGAAATATAATTAAATTATCTTGATGTCTCCCCATCAAAAAGTTCTTTTGCATGTGACATTATTATTATGAAATAATTAAGACAGATGATCATGATAACATGGTTTTTAAAAATAATTTTATAATTTTTAGCATAAATTTGTTGAGCTCATTGAACATTTTAAGTAATTGTATCTCATGTTACTTAAGCTGGTATTAATAAGGTAAAAGCTTCCCACTCACCTAAGCATTTAATTACCAGTCAAATGGAGTGAGCAAAAGTACAATAAAAAAGTACCTATATTTTTCAAAAGGTGAAACATTAAGAACCCAAGAAAGCGAGACTTTAATATCAGAGTTGTAGCATTGATTTCTGATTGTAGATGCCAGATAAACTCAAAGGCCTCATATAAAGATAAAGTGACCTAAAATACAGCTCAAAGAATGATGTATCTTATCAGTTCTCATAGCATACTATGAAGTTATAGTAATAAAAAAAACCTAATAAAAATAAGATAGTATTTATTAAAAATATAGGTAGTATAGGTAATTGACAGACCCACTTACCCGCTATTGCATTGAAAAATCCCTCCCAGTTATAGCTGTGCAATCAAATTAGCATGCTGTCCTTTTTAATGAATGCTATTGACACTATGGAGCACTTCTATTCTCGTATCCATCAAAAGGCTCCATTTCTTCCATCTGAGTTCTCCTGCACAGATATGGATTCCACATAGACCTTGTAGCTATTGGTGTTTTATTTGCTTTACTTTTGTATTTTTTGTTTTTGTTTGTTTTCTTCACCCAATTTGTATGTCATGTGGGGGTATCATATCACTTATGTTACAAAATTTTCCATGAGTTTTGGTTTTGCTATCTAGTTACGTTGGTTTACACAAGTATGCTGCTGCTACCACCATATTCCCAGAATCCTTTCTTCAAAGTTTTATTATAAATCTTGAGTTATTTACCTTATTTATTATTGTTTTCAAATTTTTAAACTTGTTTGTCATCCCTGGAGCTCTTTACACATTTCTGTCTTCTCTTCTCAAATCCTTGAATCTGATCCTAACGTCGGTCTCCTGACCTGACAGTAGTACCAACTTTGGCTAACCTCTTTGCCTCTAACTTGTGCATTTTATTGACTTAAACTTGTCATTTAAGGTCCAATAATCTCCCCTGATTGGCAAGGGATATAGTGGATGCCTTAAACCTCAGATAGTACTAAACTCTGTATATATCATGCTTTTTTCTATATATACATACTTACGATAAAGTTTAATTTATGAATTAGCACAGTAAGAAATTAACAAGTAAAAATAAAAAGAACAATTAGATAATAACAATATACTGCAGTAAAAATTATATGAATGTGGCCTCTTCCCTCTCTCTCAAAATATCTTATTGTACTGTACTCATCCTTTTTCTTGTGATGATATGAGATGACACAATGTGTCTGCTATAAGATAAGTGAAGTGAGGTGAATAATGTGGTCATTGTTCACTATTGAACAATGGCTAGGCTACTATTGACCTTCTGTATTTCTGAATCTGTGTAACCATCCCTCACTTGCAGTAAATGACTTGGTGTCACTCATTTTATGGGACACCTTGCTGAAATCTTTGTATAGGCTCAATGTTTTCAGGTGCAACATATTGACATCAGTTGGAACACATTTTCTGTTCATACCTTCCACCCACAAATTTAATGCCTTTTCTATGTTAACTAGGCACTTGTCACACACTGTGACTGTAACTTCCACAGTTTGAGGTGAGACAGCTTTTTATTTTTCCTTCTTCACAATTTCATGCATAGATTTGTTCTTACTGTAGGTTTCAGCAACCTTGGCATGAATTTTTTTTTTCCTTATTAAGTAAAGAACTTTCACCTTTTCACTTAAAGGAAGCACTTTATAGCTTCTCTTTTACATATCCAAACTTGCACTTGGGGAACATTATTAAATACAATAAGGGTTAGTTGAACGCAAACACTATGATACCACAAAAGTGGATCTGATAACTGAGATGGGTGACTAAGTGACTAACAGATAAGTAGTGTCGACAGTGTGGGCATACTGGACAAAGACATGACTCAAATCCCTGGAGGGATAGAACAGGATGGTACGAGATTTTATCATGCTACTCAGAGCAGCACAGAATTTAAAACTTATAAGTTGTTGATTTCTGGAATTTTCCATTCGATATTTTTGGGCTGTGGGTGACTGAAGCTGGAAACTGAAACCACAAATAAGGGGGGACTATTGTACAAATCACTCAAATCTCCATTGGCTATTTGATCCCTGTCCTAGTACAGGATTCCTGTTTTGGTAATTAATTTTAATTAGCATGGGAGACATTATCACTAGACGTTACCAAGATCTCCAGTCAAAAGCAACAACAACTTGGAAACAGTAATCCTGTGGGACTGCAAGCTAGTTCAACCTCTGTGGAAAGCAATATGGAGATATCTTAAAGTGATACAAGTGGATCTACCATTTGATCCAGCAATCTCATTACTGAGCATCTACCCAAAAGAACAAAAGTCACTCTATGAAAAGACACCTGCACTTAAATGTTTATAGCATCACAGTTCACAATTGCAAAGATGTGGGAACAGCCCAAGTGCCCATCAATACATGAGTGGATTAATAAAATGTAGTGTATATATATAACAAGGAGTACTATTCAGCTCTAAGAAATAATGGTGATATAGCACCTCTTGTATTTTCCTGGATAGAGTTGGAACTCATTCTACTAAGTGAAGTATCCCAAGAATGGAAAAATAAGCACCACATGTACTCACCAGCAAATTGGTATTAACTGATCAACACCTAAGTGGACATATAAGAATAACATCTATCGGGTGCTAGGCAGGTGGGGGTGGAGGGGATGGGTATATACATACATAATGAATGTGATGTGCACCAACTGGGGGATAGACACGCTTGAAGCTCTGACTCAAGGGGGCAGGGGGGGCAAGGGCAATATATGTAACCTTAACATTTGTATCCCCATAATATGCTGAAATAAATAAATAAATAAATAAATAAATAATAAAGAAAAAGAAACAATAATCCTGAACCAGAAGTTAGTTTTTGAAAACAAATATTTGGGTACCTGGTCAAACAGTGAGAAAGGTTAATTTATCCTTTGTTTTTAGCTGGAAAATAAATCTAATCTCCACATTTTCTCCCATATTTAATATTAGAGAAACTACTTGTATTTTGTAGTATGTATATTGAGGTAGAAACAACAGACTTTAATGCATTATTCCATTCCATCCAGAGTTAAAGGAAGAAAATGATAATAATAAGCCCACCCAATGTTTTATAGTCTAAATTCTTGAGCCAAAGGTCAGATTGTTTTTAAACCCAATTCTCAATGGCTCAGATAGTATTAGATTAATATCCCTTTCTGAATGAGTAGAACCTTGGGAGAAGAGACAGAAAGAGCTGACGAGTATATCCATGCTCTTCTGCAGCTTGTACTTTTATCTCTCACTTAGGAATTTTTTTGTCTTTGCTCCAATAACCTGATAATAATATTTAGACAATAAACCCATGGATATTGATTTTTTTTATTTTTTTTTATTTTTTTTTTTAGGTTCAGTCTCCGTAGAGACTGTCAAAAATTGCCAATGCCGACTATATTTCAAGTTGTCATGGCGGGGTATTGGGAAAAGTTTTCAATTAGCAATAATCGCGCCTCGGATAAACCTCATTGGCTACGATACTGCCACTGCGCAAAGCTTGGATATTGATTTTCATGAATCGAACTACTAATGATATGGGAGTAAAGTTGGGAAATGTTCAATTGTGCAAGTTTAGGTGACATAAGATAGATTAAAGTGGACCTAAATTGAAGCCAACATGAGAATCATGTGATAGAAAATTAGCATCAGATATGTTTCTATCAAAACTTCTAGTTTAGAGGGAATAAGAGAATTTCTACCTCATTTCGATGAATATGTAATTGACACCTACAAAGGAAGATAGCAGTATAGGCTTGTGTGTTTAATTATTTATTTCAGAGGCCCTAATTATATTCCTATACCTCTCTCCACTGGTGCACATATAACTTTAGCGTTCAAAGAGATGTCTTCCTCTTCCAAGTACACTGTCTTCTTCATACAGCCTCTCAGAACAGCAAATCTTAGTTGGTGAGAAACAGGTGTCAATCTGCTTTTCACTCAGAAGACAGTTTCTTTTACAGACACCTTTACGTTTTGTGCAACGATCAGCGTCCACCAAGTTACATGTAGCTATAATAAAAGAAGAGTAACTGAAATTACTAATCTCTTAAGTATATATTATTTCTGATTACATAAAGTATAATGTGTACACTGTACCAAGTTTAGAAAATGTCAAAAAATACAAATACACTAAAAATATCCCATACCTCTATGTATACAGAAAAGTGAAACTGTAAAAATTTAGTATATGTTTAAAAATTATATGCTACATATTATTCTATTCAACAAGATACAAGATTATTTTGGAACCACATGATAATTTATTCAGTCTTTCAGCTCTTTTTGGACCATCAAGTGATAACTAGAGTTTTAATATTTTAGGATTATGATAAATACCTTTTACAACTTTTCATAATTATAAGATAGATTCTTAGGATAGTTGTGGCAGAGTTTGATTCTATGCTTCTAGTACTGCCACAAACAATATATGTAAGTTTTCCCACCAAATATTAATAAAATAACATTCATTGCAATTTTAATTTTCATGTATTTGATTATGTTGAATACTTTTCTTTCTTTTTAAACTTAATTGTTCATATACTTTGTTGATTATGTTATTGGAATGATTATTTTATTTTAATGAATTCATAAGAATTTTTAATATATTTTGCATAATAACTTTTATCTGTCATATTTGTCACAAGTTCTTCCTTTGTTGTTTTTCATTTTGTTAGTGGTGGTTTTTAGATAATAACTATTTTATTACAAGATAAATGTACATTTCATTCTAAAAATATAAACAATCTTATAATTTTGACATGTAGAAATGTGCAGAATAGTGTATTATTTATAGTAAGATATGCTTGCATAAAATATTTTCATTATATTTTATTATAATATTTTTGTTTTTATATCAATTATAACTGTCTGATATACAGCTCTCTTCATTTTCCCTAAATGATTAAATGATTGTTCTACGCTATTTACTGAAAAATTTTCTTCATGCCTTGAAATTACATTCATTGTATTCTTAATAATATTATCCTCTCAATTCTCATAAACTCTAAGTCTCTTTCCTTTATTATATTTTATAGATATTGCTATAGATTTTTGAAGCAGAAACAAAAATCTTAGATCAAAAATATATAATAGAAAAAGCATGTGACTTATTATATTTTATTTCTTTACATATAAACTTTAAGAAGTAAAACAAAGTTGCAGAAGAGAGTCCAAACACAATGTTCAGCTAAGAGTATAACTAATAAGTACTTATGTAAACACTACCAAAGTCAAGAAATAGATCATTGCCAGTAAGGAATTTGTGCCCCCTCAAAATTACAATTCCCTCTTGCTCCTTCATTTCCAAAAGAAACCATTATCTTGACTTATAATATTTTAAGTTTGCTCAAGTTAAAATTTTATGTGAATGCACACAGTACAACAGATATATTTTTATGTCTGATTTTATGAACTCACAATTTAGCTTTTGAGAGTCAGCCATATTCTGCATAACTATAATCTTTCCATTTTCATTACCATATAGTAGTCTGTTATAGAAACATACTACATTTTATCTTTATGTATTGATGAATATTTAAATTATTTTCTGGTTTTGGATACTTTTGTGCTTGACTCTTGGGGGACACACTCAGGCAGTTCTGTTAGGCACATCCCTAAGGGTGGAGTATAATGGCAATGTGTCTGCATAGCTCAACTTTAGTAGATAATATCAAACGCATCTTCAAATCATTTGCGCCAAATTAAATTTCTAGCAGCATTATGTAAAAGTTGAAGACATCAGAAATATGATCAATGGTTGATACTTTTAATTTAGTAATTCTGATGGGAATGTCATGATACCTCATACATCTCATCTCAACTGTCAATTTTCTTTCCGATTACTGGGGAAGTGTGACCTCTTTTGTTATGCTGCAAATATCTTTTTCAATGTAGAGCTTGTCTTTTTACTCAGTGATCTTTTTGATTTAAATTTTTCCTAATTTTAATTTGGTTAATATTGCTGTTTTCTACTGAGTAAGAAATATGATTCCTTGAATGCCAAAATCATTACTAAATTCTGAAGCATTAACTTGTTATGATTTATTGTTTTGCCTTTCCTACTTGTATGTACAGGTTACTTGGAATTGGGTTTTGGCTGTGGTAAGAGGCAAGAGTTAAATTTCATTTTTTTTTTTTCTCATATGACTATTCAATGAAACCAGCCTTATTAATTGAAAAGTTTATTTGCCACATTGTTCTTCCATGCCCTTTTTAATGTTTAAAGATTCTCTATTCTGCTCCATCGTTACATTTTTCTTTCCAATATAACACTGTCTTCTTGTGCAAATCCTCCCATCTCAGTCTTTCTTTGACAATAGTGTCTTGATTATTATTTAGTGCTTTATATTTCCATACAAATTTCAGACTTACTATGTCAGGTTTCAGAAAACAAAACAAAAGAATGTCTTTTAGGATGTGATTAAGATTATAATAACTCTATGAATCAATTTGAGAAATACTGCATTGACAGCCTTACAAAAATGAATCCTCCAATCCATTAATCTAGCATAACCCTTCTTGAATTTAAGTCTTCTTTAAGCTCTCAATAATAATTTTAGCAAACTGTGTAGACATCTTCTAAATCTTTCTTTAGAATCATTCCTTTGTAGTTGATATTTTAATGCTACTCTAATTGTTGAATTTATCATACAATTTTTCTAGGTATTAATATATAGAAATCTAATTGATTTTTATATTGATTTTATATCCAACAATAATGCTAAGCTCATTCATTAGTTCTTTTAATTCATCCCAGGCTCCCTTTGCTGTTTCTATATATACCATCAGATCAACTGAATAATGATGGTCATTTTCTTCTATGCAAATATTTTAGGACTCCATTGCAAGGTTCATTGAAGTCAATGATACAAGGGGACTCATTATATTTCTGATATCAAATGGAAAATTTTAATTATTACATCATTTAGTAGGATGTTTATTGTATAGCTTTTTTGGAGATAAATTTTATTAAACGCAAGAATTTAATTCGATTCATTGTCAGCTTCCTGGGACTTTTAAAAATTCATAAATTTTATAAAAAATCATCTTTGTGTATTGACTCAATCATATAAACTTTCTCCTCTAATCTGTTCATGAAGTAACATTGATTTTAGAGTACTATACTAACCTTCTAATCCAGGAATTTCATTGGGCTTTGATTATAGGTATTCTTTAAAGGATTTTTGCATTTATATTAATGAGTGAGGTTCATTTTTAATTTTCTTTCTTATAATGTCCTTACAAATTTTAATACCAGGCATTGTTGATCTCATAAAATAAGTTAGAAGCATCCTTTCATTTTCCACTTTCTGGTAAAGTTTGTACATAATTGGTTGTAATTCTTTCCTAAATGTTTAGAATTAAACAGTGAAGCCACTTAAACTTAGTATTTTCTTTATGTAAAGATTATTTATTATGAATTCTATTCTCTTAATGAATTTAGAACATTAGATTTTGCATTTCTTTGTCATTGTTATTGCTTTTCTGATTCACTATATTTTTTCAGAAATTATCCAATACATATACATTTTGGAATATATTATGATAAAGTTGTTCATAACATCCTTATATTATCATTTTAATATCTATAACATATATATTAATATCACTAATAAGTTGATTTTTGCCTTCACTCCCTTTTCTTTACAATTTTGTTAAAGCTTTACTAATTTTATTAATCTTTTCAAAAAGCAAAATGTGGACTCTTTAATTTTCTCTAGCTTCTGTTTTCTAGTTTATTACATCGCTTGTGTCTTATTATATGCTCATTGCTGTGAGTTTAATTTCATCTCCTTTTTCAAATTTCAGCATTTAATTTAGTTATATTTTTAGTCTTATTCTTATATATAATTATATTAACTGCATGAATTTCCTTGGAATCATTACTGTGAGCTTTGATTTATCTCATTTTTATTACCATTATGTTGAAAATATTTTCTAATATCTATTGAGATTTATTCTTAGAATTAAAGTTTTGTTAATCTTCATGTTTAAGTTTTCCATATTCTTGCTTTTGTGTTGTTTGTTTTGCTTTGTTTTCTCTGTAATCAAGTAAGGTATATTATCATCTCCCACAATTATTATAAAGTTCATTAATTTTTTGGTAATGTTTTGGTAATTTCTTTTTAATTTTTCTCAAGTAACCCAATTTCCCTGGTGATTGAGTCACCTTAATTTTAAACTTAGTAAAAACTACAGCACCGGAACTGATGATGTCTTCTTGCTAACATTTTATTACAGGTTAATGTCTCTCCTTCACTATTCTTGAGCTAGCCTTCCATTTACTGTGCAATATAATATATTGTAAAGCTGCCAAAGCCACCATGTTTCTGCCATTTGAGATCACCATGTTAAGACAGCTTAAGAACTGGCTAAACCGCAACACTACCTACTCTTTCTTCTTCTCTACTACTTTCTCTCCTTTTCTTCTTTTCTCTATACTTCTATTCCTCCGCCATGCAATATTTCTTGAAATATTGCAATATGCTATTCAATATAATAACTACTTTGCTTACTTTATCTCTTTTAATCTTTGCAAAACATTATGTAAATAATGATATCATCATCCATTATATACTTAAGAGAACTGAAGCTTCTTTCATAGCTACAAGGAAGACTTAGTCCATAATATAAACGTTGATCTCTTGGATGAGAAGCTCACTCTGTAAACTATGATAGTATGCCACCTTCACTATCTCTATGGATTATTTTATGGCTGTATTTCCCCTACATGACTGCTAATTCCTCCAAGTTTTAACGATTGTCAGAATTAGCCTCTTCTCAATTTTCTACTACTGGTCTCCCCAGCATGATATTTTTTGTTTGGACCCAATACTCCTCTTACATTTTCACAATGTATGCACTTGTGAACACTTTTATTGCTTTTTTCCCCTACTTTTAGATTTTATCAGTAACCACACCATACTACTCAACAGAATCCTTAAAAGGTAGCCATTCTGACACATTGTATTATCCTTCTTGTATTCTGAGTCTATCAAAGGCCAAATATAAAGCATTTTTGTCCTTTCCAATATACATTAATAACTTAGTATCTATTGAATGATCCAAAGGTAAAGTTTGTGATCACTACTCTTAGACTGTCTTTATAATCTTATTTAAAGTTTCCTGCTGTGCTCAGCAAATGTAGAGTTTGATGATGTACAGATCTTATACATCTGATGTGCAATTTACTTCCCATGAGAGCTTGTTTCTTTTGACCAAATTATCTACTCAGCCTTTTTCTTGAACTTAGTGCTATCTATAGAAAGTATTGTGATGAAGCAGAAGGAACAAAAATTGCTGGAATCTAAAAATGTATTTGTATTCTACTTATGACATATAGTAGTATAGGTGTGACCTTGAAAAATTTTTCTCCTCTCATGTCATAGAGGAAATAATAGTCATTTTACAATGTTATCTGGTAGGTCAGATTCAATATCTATGAGAAAAATTATGGAATGGTGTTTGGCATACTGGCCACTCATATTTACCTCTTGTCTTGTCTGTCTTCCTCTCACCTTCCAAGGTCAAAATATGAGTATCTTACCCCAAATTTCAAAGCTCTTTATCAGAGAATTCAGAACATTTCCCCAAACCACATTGCTATAAGTCCACTATTCTTACTATCTGAAGCATACTTACATAAACCTTCTAAATCAGACCAATTCATTGATGTATCTGAGTTTATTCATCTAGCTGGTAGCCTAGGAATTACTATATCTTGTATTTCTGTTTCCTCAGTGTCAACCATTGTGCTTAGTAGATCACTGGGCACTCAATATTAGATGGTTGTTGATTGACACAATAGCACTGCATGCTTCAATACTTTTCCTAATCATATTTGAGATCCTCACTTTTTCAGGCCCCTTTCATTATTAATAATAACTATAACAAAAGAAACAACTTTAATAAAAATAATAGCGCCGAAATTGGCAGACTAATTTTTAGTTTGTACTTTGTATTAGACTTTATAATACAATATTCCACTAAATCCTAACTGCAGTTTTTTGAGGTGCATATAACTAACAGGCACAACATTTTATGTCGGATTTGTAATTTTTTAAAAATTGTGATTATTAATTATTACATTTCTATCTTCTTTGTTTTTTGTTAAGAACATTGACAAATCAGTTAAATTCTGAATGCCAAGGTTCACCAAGCTATTAAGTAATGAGCTAGTAACAAAATCTAAATCTTCTGAGTTTGAATCCAGGTTTATTTCCGATACGTGATGCACTGCTTGAATTTCCAACTTTCTAGAATGACCACCAAGGGTTTCATTGTATTTTATTATTTATTTGTAATTGATTAATAAGGGCATTGCTGCATTCCTTTACTCCGTGTATTGACTAATTAGACAAGGATATTTTAGGTACTTCTTTACTTACCATTTTATTCCTGCTATACCTCATTGCCCAGCATATTGTCAGACTATGTCTTAGATCATCTTATAGATTCTGTAATTGATATCCCAAGAGATATATCCTGGTGTTTGCAGTCCATTTCTCTCCTTGGGATCTGATTACCATTGTCTTCACTTCTAAATCTTATAAATAAATTTAATAAATTATGGTTTTCTTAATCATTTAAATACCTGAAAAGAAAACTCAAAGTCCAAAAATGATGAAATATCTTATCTGCACCATCTCATTTTATCTGTAGATTAATTTTTAAAATAGAGTAGGTTAAGTATCCTAGTATAATTGTATTCACAATGAGGAAACCAAGATTCAATTAAGATACTAATCAGTAAGATTTTGTTGAAAACCCTCATTTTCCAATTAATAATCTAGTATTTATATTTATACCTAAAAGCTATGTGTTAAAAACATAACAGAAACATGTATTTTACCTGGTAGGATGAAGGTCACATAACACAGAAAATGGAGGAGATAGTAAAGGATCTTCATTCTGTAGAAATAAGCTGTTGAAAGATTTGGTGATGGAATTTAGAGACTAGAGCACTTTCCAAAAAGTCAAGAGACATTACCTATTTATAATTATTTAATGGAAGGGAAACTCTCTTTATCTGGAAGTGGTTTTAATTTTGTGTGCCTTTCTCTGCTCCAGTGACTATAGCTGTGGGCAGAATTACCCAAGTTGAAAACACATGAAAATAACTGAGCTTGAGGGAAGAATCTGTATGTAAATGCTAGCTATAAATCTGGCATATTCCTATCAGTGGTGATCAATTAATCATCAACATCAAAGGGCATGCAGGGAGTGGGTTTAAGGAAAATATTAATTTAACATTTCAGATATGAAACAACTGAATGTTGTCCATTAAACAACAGGCTACTTTCCAATATATTATGCTCACTAATGTAGTATGTAAATTTATTAATATGTTTATATATCTAAAATCTTTAATAATATCCAGTTACTCCATTAATTTCTCCCAAATTATTTATTTATAAGCCCCAAATGTATTAAGCCTCATTTTTGTCACTAACTTTGTTTTCTCAATTTTTTTATTAATAAATTCAAATTTTAACTAATTAATTTTTTTTTTTTTTTTAGTGACAGGGTCTTTTCTGTTCCCCAAGCTATAATGCTGTGGCGTGATTATAGCTCACCGCAGCCTTGAAATCCTGGGCCCAAGCGAACTACGCATTACAGCCAACCAAGTAGCTGAGACTACAGGCATGCATCACGACACCTGGCTAATGCTAATTAATTAATTAATTAATTTTAAGGTTTTTTGTTTGTTTGTTTTTAGAGACAGGGTTCTCACTGTGCTGTCCAGGCTGCTCTAGAACTCCTGGCCTCAAGCAATTCTCCAGCCTCAACCTTGTCACTAATTTTTATTACTCCTTTTTTCAGATACAATTTAAATATCCACAGAACTCTTTTTTTTTTTTCCCTAGAAAAGCCCAATTAGTCTCCACTTACTTGAAAATTTTTATCACACAATAAATAATGAAAAGAGACCTTAGAAGGAAGGGCAGTAATGTTCCACCTCAATCTCCCTATTTTCAGGCCTCTGGTGATTACCAACATAAGAATTAAGATTTAGCTGATGAAAAATATAGCTTTAGACTACTTACACTCTTTCTTATGCTAATTGTTCTTAAATATTTGGAAGTTATATAGATTTTTGGAAAGTTTTATAAGTTATCTTCAGACTTAAACAACGATATTTTCCCGATGAACTTTAATCACAATATTAACCCTTTCCCATTTAAAATGAAAATATCAGCCCCTTGCCAGTAACTCCAGCATTCCTTCACACTTTACACATCACATTTATCTGTTATGCATTTCCTTTTATGTTATCTAGGATAATACGTGCACTCTGTGTATAATAATTAATAGAATTGAAACATCTATGACTTACTTTAAAGATTATAACTCAGTAAGCATTATAGATTATATTGCCTTTTTCTATGTGTCTAATATCACAACACTTATGCCAATCAAAGAGAAATGCTTGTGGTTTCAAGATCAAATGGATTATTAATATTATCACTAGTATTATTTTTTTCTATTATTATTATTTCTTTTCCTTCTATCTTGCTTTCTTTTTTCTTAAATGTTTTTCAAGTGAGGAGAAAAAATGGTGGAGTAGAGGTAACTCTTGGGGACTTCTGCTCTCAGAGAAGGAGACACAGATCTCGGTCTCCTACACGCGAGTGGATCTCCCCACTATAAGGACAGAGTCGAGAATCCACAGAGGAGCCACGTGGAACTCTCATAAAAGGATAAACAAGGTGATGGGGAAATAAGATCGCGTTCTCTGGAGACTGCAAAGCAAACAATAGGGCGCGTGGGAGGGTGCCGGCCCGCAGGGCCAGGTGGTGAAGTAGGATCAGACCCACAGGAGAACTCCTTGCTTCCCCATTGACCTCCACACCCACCCAGCCAGAAACCTGTCTAAAACTGGTGCGAAATCCCAGCAGGAGAAGAGGGTGCTGGAGGGTGCGGTTGATGGTGAGAGGCAGCGGTGTGGTACCCCCTGAGCCCCGTGCTAGGACGGCTCCAAGACCAGAGAAAACTGATCTGTGTGGACTGGGGAGACGGTTAGAGGTCTCGTCTCTGGTAAGCTGCGAGACTAAGCGGGGGCTCTAAGTTGGAACTGTCCCCGGCGAATAAAACTGCACAGGGCGGGTCAGTAAAAGCGTGGGCTCCCACTGAACAGGCGGTTGGGCAGGTGGCATGGAGGAACCTACGGGGTGCGTCCTATTGACCCAGGCTCCCAACCCGGCACTGGCTGCACCCTAATCAGTTGCCCCCAGTACTGGTGCCCTACCACTGGGCTAGCGATTGCCACTGAGGAGGTCCACAGCCCTCCTCCACAGCTGGCAAGTCCCCTGCCCCTGCCCAGCCTAGAGTCCCTCCTGGCAAATCCTGCCCCTACACAATCTGCGATTGGCTCGTCAGGCCTGCCTCCATCAAGGATCTACTGAGAAGTCTAACAGCTGAGGGGAGTTACAGGGGTGCAGGGCGTGCAGGGCAGACTGGGGAGATACAGCCTCCCCTCAGCCCGCATCTCTCTTGTAGGCTCCACCCCTGGAGGCGGGCAAGACAAGAAAACCCACTTTCCCCAAAAGCTACCCCTGTCAGGGGAACCTTCCAAGTGTGGTAAAAGAGCTCCCCCCAGTGGTTGATTAAGAAACTACAAAAAGTAGATGACTGAGCTCTAGCAATTGACCCAGATGGGAAGGCCCCAACGCAATTCAAAAAAATCAAGCCGAAAATACTCCCCCTAGGAGATACACCAGCTCTCAAGAAATGGAATCTGAACAAACCCAAAACACTAAAATGACAGAAGAAGAATTCCAAAATTGGATTGTAAAAAAACTCAATGAAATGCAAGAAAAAATGGATAACCAACACAAAGAAACTACAATGAAGATACAAGAATTGGAACAAAGATTCACTAAGGAGATTCACATATGGAAGAGGAATCAATCAGACATCCTCGATATGAAGAATTTATTCAGGAAATTCAAAACACAGTGGAAAGCCTCAAAAATAGGGTGGACAAAACAGAAGAAAGAATCTCAGAGCTGGAAGACAACTCATTCAAATCAAATAAGTTAATCACAGAGTTAGAGCAGAAAAATAAGAAGAGACATGAGCAAAGCTTACAAGAATTGTGGGATTATGTGAAGAAAAATAACCTGTGGGTCGACTAGATTCCAGAGAAGAAGGAAGAAAAAACCCAAGGGTTAGATAAGCTTTTTGAAGAAATAATTGAGGAAAATTTCCCAGGTCTAACCAGTAACCTAGAATTAGAAATACAAGAGGCCAAAAGGACTCCTGGGAGATAAAATGCAAACAGGAAAACATCACGCGATGTAGTCATCAGACTGACCAAAATATCAACAAAAGAGACCCTCCTACAAGCTGTTAGGCACAGGAAGGAAGTTACATAAAAAGGAAAACTGATGCGAATAACTCTAGATTTCTCAACTGAAACAATACAAGCGAGGAGGGAATGGGGACCTACTCTCACTCTTTTAAAACAAAATAATGCCCAGCCTAGAATCTTGAACCCTGCAAAGCTAAGCTTCATATATGAAGAAGAAATTAAGACATTTTCAGATAAGCAAAGTCTCAAGGAATTCACCAAAACAAGACCAGCCCTACAAGAAGTACTCAAAACAGTGTTATGAATGGACCATAATAAAAATTCATGAATATAAAAACAACCAAACCAAAGATTAAAGGCAGATATTACAAGGCTCAAGAGAGAAATCAAAGCAACAACATCCAACCCAACAGAATGAACAGTAATCTACCTTACCTATCAGTTCTTTCAATAAATGTGAATGGCTTAAACTCTCCACTCAAGAGACATAGGCTGGCTGAATGGATAAGAAAATACAGGCCAAGTATATGCTGTCTTCAGGAAAAACATCTAACCTGCAAGGATGCATATAGACTAAAAGTAAAAGGGTGGAGATCAGTATTCCAAGCAAGTGGAAGCCAAAAGAAGGCTGGTGTGGCAATTCTAATTTCAGACGATTTAGTTTTTAAACCAACAAAAGTAGTGAAAGACAAAGATGGTCATTATATAATGGTGAAGGGCACAGTTCAACAAGAAGAGATAACAATTTTAAATATATATGCACCCAACTTAGGTGCACCCAGATTAATAAAGCAAACCTTACTGGATGTAAGCAAATTGATTAATAGCAACTCCATAATCACTGGAGATTTCAACACCCCACTGATGGCACAAGGCAGATGCTCCAAACAGAAAATTAATAAGAAATATGGACTTAACAAAACTGTAGAACAATGGGGTATGACTGACATTTACAGGACATTCTACCCCAAATCCACTGAATATACGTTCTTCTCATCAGCTCATGGGACATTCTCCATGATTGACCATATCCTAGAACACAAAGTAAACCTCAAGAAATTTAAAAAAATAGAACTCATACCATGTATCTTCTCAGATCACAGTGGAATAAAAGTAGAAATCAACCCTAACAGAAACTCACACTTTTACACAAAAACATGGAAATTAAACAACCTCCTACTAAATGATTACTTCATAAATGAGGAAATCAAGATGGAAATAAAAAAATTCTATGAACAAAATGACAATGGAGAGACAAGTTATCAAATCCTCTGGGACACAGCTAAAGCAGTTCTGAGAGGAAAGTTTATCTCCATAAATGCCTATAAAAAGAAGAACAGACCAACCCCAAACCCAGCAGATGAAGTGAAACAAACAAGATCAAATCAGAACTAAATGAAATTGAAAACAGGGAAACTATTTAGGAAATTAATACAACAAAAGTTGGTTCTTTGAAAAAATAAACAAAATTGTCACACCATTGGCTAAGCTAACGAAAAGCAGAAAAGAGAAATCTCTAATAAGCTCCATCAGGAATAAAAAAGGAGGTATCACAACTGATCCCAAAGAGATACAAGAAATAATTTATAAATACTACAAAAATTTTATGCA